AAGAATGCACGTGATAGTGTCAGAAAGCAAAGCCAAGCTTTGAACATTTGATATTTGTTTATGACTGATCAAGTCAAGAAAGGAAATGTGACTATTGAATATTGTCCAACTGAAAAGATGTGGGGAGATTTCATGAGCAAACCTCTACAGGGACAAAAATACTTGGAATTCAGATCATTGATCCAAGGAGAACAAGATTAGGAGCAACACAATTTCCTTTCATGTTCCGTTGTCATCAACTATGTTAATGAAACGGCAGGAGTGTGTTGGATATATTAGGATTTTCAAAGTACATCTTTGGAGAAACAAGAAAAAGAGAATACATGTGACCGATAGAGAAAAGATGTCAACTGATACGACTAAAAATGAAGACTGATGTGACTAAAAATATCGCATGTGGCGAGTCAGAAAACAGATCATATTTCTATGGAAATCATCCTGTTGATGATGTAAGAAAGCAAGACTCAAGCAAGAACCAAAGTTGGATACTAATCAAAGTACCGAGTACAGTGGAAGGTGAACGGATAAACAGATTGAACTTGCAGCATATCAGGCTAACGTAGAGAGAATTCTGAGAATTTCCACTAAGCTGGAGAAGAAAGAGTCAAAGTCAAAAAATGACAGACTGTTCTCACTTTTTATAATATACTGCAAGCAACGAGTGAATTGGTTGATAAAGTAGGATCTCTGATAGATCTATATACTTCTATATACTGTAAATTCATGTACTTAGAAGGCAACAATACCTGGACAGATAAATCACAGTCAATTGAACAGGTAGATTGCAGGAGGCAGTGGATCGCTTACTTCTAACACCATGGTCTGAACCTTGGTTTGCCCATCTTCAAGAACAGAACTTTGTTAAGAGTGTCCAATGTCAGAAATATGAGATTGCAACTAGCTGCAGGTGCCTCAACGCCCCTGGTTCTTGCTTCTCTCCTGAAATAGGATCTTTTGCGGATAGGTAGTTAGCTCTTGTGTCAATAATGTCTATCAAATACTTCTTTCAATATGAAACAGTCTTTCTTATTTTATGTTATCCAGTTGGATTTTATTCAGATTGTGAGCTCAATAATATTGCCTCCAGATCTGTGTAAGAACATAGATCCTAATTGGATTTGCCTTGCTCTTTCCCTAGACCTCCGTATTGATTCAACACAAAGCTTGAAAGGGATTAAAAGGACCTACTTTTACTTCCATAATAAAGCTTTACAAACTTCCCAGAATATTCTAGAAGCTTGTCTGTCTGCACTCCCGTACTTCCAAACCGTCCAGTTGTACAGTCCTTTTAGACATGCGGGAGCCTAGATTCCACAACTGATCATGTATCAGATAGGGAATATATTAGGGAGCCTAGTTTCCACAACTGATCATGAAACAGATAGGGAATATATTAGTAAAAAAATGTCCATTTCTCTAGTAGTCAATTATGAAAATTTGAGTACTGCCAGCATTGAGAGCCAAGCGAAGGGATGGAGTTTGTTGACACAGCTCCGGATATACTCATGCCTGTTTGGAATGTTGATAAGCGATCAGAGACGGAGGAGTCAAAAGAAGAAGAGTTGAGTAACAAGAGTTCAATTCTATTGGAAAAGAATGCACGTGATAGTGCCAGAAAGCAAAGCCAAGCTTTGAACATTTGATATTTGTTTATGACTGATCAAGTCAAGAAAGGAAATGTGACTATTGAATATTGTCCAACTGAAAAGATGTGGGGAGATTTCATGAGCAAACCTCTACAGGGACAAAAATACTTGGAATTCAGATCATTGATCCAAGGAGAACAAGATTAGGAGCAACACAATTTCCTTTCATGTTCCGTTGTCATCAACTATGTTAATGAAACGGCAGGAGTGTGTTGGATATATTAGGATTTTCAAAGTACATCTTTGGAGAAACAAGAAAAAGAGAATACATGTGACCGATAGAGAAAAGATGTCAACTGATACGACTAAAAATGAAGACTGATGTGACTAAAAATATCGCATGTGGCGAGTCAGAAAACAGATCATATTTCTATGGAAATCATCCTGTTGATGATGTAAGAAAGCAAGACTCAAGCAAGAACCAAAGTTGGATACTAATCAAAGTACCGAGTACAGTGGAAGGTGAACGGATAAACAGATTGAACTTGCAGCATATCAGGCTAACGTAGAGAGAATTCTGAGAATTTCCACTAAGCTGGAGAAGAAAGAGTCAAAGTCAAAAAATGACAGACTGTTCTCACTTTTTATAATATACTGCAAGCAACGAGTGAATTGGTTGATAAAGTAGGATCTCTGATAGATCTATATACTTCTATATACTGTAAATTCATGTACTTAGAAGGCAACAATACCTGGACAGATAAATCACAGTCAATTGAACAGGTAGATTGCAGGAGGCAGTGGATCGCTTACTTCTAACACCATGGTCTGAACCTTGGTTTGCCCATCTTCAAGAACAGAACTTTGTTAAGAGTGTCCAATGTCAGAAATATGAGATTGCAACTAGCTGCAGGTGCCTCAACGCCCCTGGTTCTTGCTTCTCTCCTGAAATAGGATCTTTTGCGGATAGGTAGTTAGCTCTTGTGTCAATAATGTCTATCAAATACTTCTTTCAATATGAAACAGTCTTTCTTATTTTATGTTATCCTTCACATCATCAAATACGGGTTTGAAAACCTTTGCCCGGCGCGGCATAATTCATGGTCACATCCATGTTATCTTTCATGTCATCAAATACCGGTTTGAATTTGTTGTCGCAATAAATAGTTTCGATTTGAAATTCCGCACAATTATAAATGAGTAAAATTTTGTCAATCGACTTGTAAATAGCATCTTTCGTCCGATCTTTCAGTTCAGTACTGAATCGGAATTTGATTGCTTTGTCAATACTGACAAAAAATGCAACATTGTTGATAAACATAATGTTGATGCATAAATCCAGGTTCGAATTGTGTTTCAGGAGTTCCTTGGGCATTTTGATCCAATCATCAACCACCGCCTTTGGTAATGGTCGCTTTTGTTTGCCCTTAATTGTTGAAATGCTCGGTCCATATATTTTTTCCAGAGATATTAACATCTTCCTCCGTAATTGGACAATTTTTGAAAAAATTTCCCCGAATTGCCAACTTGAATAGTTCTGCACCAGGTGCTCCCATCATATGAAAGCCATTTTGTGCAACATTTGCTCGTTTCACTTGTTTGTTTGTGAAACCCTCTTTGTTCTTCTCCACACTCTGCAGAGCACAGTACCCTTCCATATCATCATTTAAATTATTAGGTACCATGTGAATTTCATCTTGTTCCATCCCAGCAGGAACTTCATCATATTTAAATCCTCTTCCATCCGTCCATTCATGAAAATCTTTTTGGATACCTCTTCGCTTTGCTTCTTGAACGAATGTACTGGGTAATCCACCAAAGCGAATTTATAAGTCATCAAAATCCCATCTTCGGTCTTTAGCCAATTCATAACAGCATTGAGCAAATTTTGTCCATTTCCATAAACCATGATATGTATCCATCGCTTCACCCATATGGATCCTATCACGCTGTAGGATGAATGCCATTCCTTTGTGCCTTTCGATTTCAATATCAAAATGTGGGTCTACTCCAGCATTGTCAATTCCACGTGCATGATTAATGGAACATTGCTGTTGCCACAGCAGGTTTGCCAACCAAAGTATATAATCCATTGTGATGTCCAAATCGCCATGTTGTCCCGTTCCTGGTCACAAAGAAGCTGTTCTCTCTCTTTGTGTCCATAAATACATCAAATCTATCTTTTACCATGTTCAACAAACTGTTGATGTTGTTGCTAGCTCGTGTGTGAAGCTTACAAACGGAATCAAATACCTTATCAATTCCTTCTCAATAAAGTTCTCTTCCCTCAACATTAGAGGCATAATGGAATCCTCCATGAATTCCTTGTAGACTTCCTTCTTTAAAGTCATCTTCATTGGTTTGCAAATGAAAAGTAGATCCACTATCCAAGTGGATACCAGTATTGTTGTGTTGAAATAACATCATCCCTTGTTGTCTTGGATGATTTTCAGTATGTCAAATCAAATACCTTATTGATTCCTACTCAATAAAGGTTTCTTCCCTCTATATTAGAGGTATAATGGAATCCTCCATCAATTCCTTGTAGACTTCCTTCTTTAAAGTCATCCTCATTGGTTTGCAAATGAAATTTAGATCCACTATCCAAGTGGATACCAGTATTGTTCATTTGGAACAACATTATCCCTTGTGGTCTTGAATCATTATCAGTATGTCCTTGTTGAATCAATTGTCCTCCATGGGATTCATTGTTGGAATGTCCATAGTTCCATTGAGTATTTGAATGTCCTGATTTGTCATCATCACATGTTACATTTTCATCACATTGCATATTTTGTCCATTACCACGACCTTTCTTGTTTGAATAATCCCTATGTTTGTCCGGGATTTTCCACTTATCCCAAGGCTTCAATTTGTCCGCACATTGAGGTGCGACATGATCTTTTGATCCGCATACAAAACACGCTCGAGTTTGTTGTTGCAGAAACTGAGCTCAGTCATTTTGATTGTTGTTTGACTTGTTCTGTTTGCCTTGCCCATTCGAATTGCCTCCATTTGGATTCTTCTTCCTGTTATCATGGTTTTGTTGGTTCAAAACATCAGCAGGAACGGCCGGGAAATAGATATTTAGCATACAATTCTTGGGAGTAAATTTTGATTTTCCCGGCCGTCCCAGCATTTTCCAAAGTAGTGGGAAATGTACAACATTGTTTGAAATCCAGATGCAACAACGTGTACTGCGCCGTCATTCCATCAATTCTTGATTGATACTTGGCTCTATTGGAATTGTACAGAAATCTGTTGGCCATGAATCTTCCCCATGATTCCTTTTTATGTTGCAATTGTTCAGCATTGCTTCCCAATAAATCATATTCCTGACTCTTCTCAGTAAATTTGTCCAAAAGATCATAACCAAGCAAAGCTTGCAATGCCTTTGCCCTTTCTTCAAATTGTTTACAAAAAACTTGCAATGTTTTCCTTCTCCTTTTGATGGCAATTAATCAGATTGCTCATGGTCTTCAACAGACCAAAATATTCCCATTCTGTATCAACAGTAGTCGTCATAAAATTCTTGATCCGCATCAATAACTCCACAGGATCATTGAACAGTTTGTTGTCAAAGTCAGCTTCTTGTTCAAGCTTGTCCACCATGTGATCGGTGCACATCTTCAAAATCATTCCATAGATGTTGCGTTTATTGTTATCAAACACCTTCTTTCTGGTCTTCCAATCCTTTTGATCAGCCAAATAATTAGTTCTTCTTTCTTCATGCTTTATCTCCTTATCAGGATTGTTGTCATCAGTTACCAATACCAATGTCAGCTTCACACTTTGAATATCAAACAGACTCAAGGTTCGTACACTCTAGATCATGTCATCAACATGATCCATCTTCATCGTTGACATTTTGATTACCAATGTCTTCTTTACTTCATCAAAGCTAAATTCGAGAATGTTTCCTCTAACCAGAGGATGAAACTTCTTCTCTTTCTGGCTACCATTGCCAGTCTTCTTTCCATTGTATTGACCATTGCCTTGGCCTTGCTGTGATCTGTTTTGTCCAGCATTTCTTCCATTGGAACCATGTCCAGTATTCTGAAATCTTCCACTCATCATGAGCAAGTTCCTATCCTTTCAAGTTGTAGGAATATATCGGCCCCCAATTCATTTCAGTGACTTTTTATAATGTATGTTAGAAGTAAGCAATCCACTGCCGCCTGCAATCTACCTGTTCAATTGACTGTGATTTAGCTGTCCAGGTATTGTTGCCTTCTAAGTATATGAATTTACAGTATATAGAAGTATATAGATCTATCAGAGATCCTACTTTATCAACCAATTCACTCGTTGCTTGCAGTATATTATAAAAAGTGAGAACAATCTGTCAACTTTTGACTTTGACTCTTTCTTCTCCAGCTCAGCGGAAATTCTCAGAATTCTCTCTATGTCAGCCTGATATGCTGCAAGTTCAATGTGCTTATCCATTCTTAGTATCCAACTTTGGTTCTTGCTTGAATCTGGTTTTCTTACATCATCAATAAGATGATCTCCATAGAAATATGATCCTTTTTCTGACTCGCCATGTGCAACATTTTTAATTGCATCAGTCTTCATTTTTAGTCGTATCAGTTGACATCATTTCTCTATTGTTCACATGTATTCTCTTTTTCTTGTTTCTCCAAAAATGTACTTTGAAAATCCTAATATATCCAACCGTTGTTGGAGCGGTAGCCAAGACAAGGCTATCCATCCCTCCAAAAGGCCTTGAGACCCTATCACCTGTTGAGCCAAGAAGGCCAGCCGAACCAAGGAGGAATGGTCTGAAAAGAGAGGGAAGCAGGTGCATGGAAGCTGTAAGATTGCTTGTTTGATGGAAGGGCCCGTCAATTGCAGATCAAACCATGTGGAGAAGGCTGCGGTGCAACGGTCCCATTCCCCAGCAGTTGCCAAAGCAGCGCAACAACGGGGAACATGGAGATGGTCCTCAGAGGCGCCTTTGTAGTCCTGCAGGAAGTGATTGCATGGCGCGACCCAGTGTGTCCCAGGCAATCTCAGACTTGGCTTCGGCGGAAATAGTACCATTGTCCCTCCAGCGCAAGCAAAGGGCAGGAAGGGTTATGCACTCTTGGATAAAACTGAGGATCAAGACGTGACTGTTTGGTGTCTGCCATGTAAAGCTGAAGATTTGAGGATTGGGGGATATGAGATGATTAGCCGCCTCAAGTTCTTTACGATACTCCACCGCCATTCCATCGACTTCAAGATTCCTTTTCTCCCACCAAGACAATTTGTCAAATAGATTAGACTTTTGGAGATGGCCATACACATGCTGGGGCAACCAATCAACAGAGGACCAGAGGATAGCTTCCCAACAGAGGACCGGAGGATAGCTTCCGGAATGGATGACACCAAGTCAAACTGAGCGTCAGTTGGAGAAAGTAGGCGGTCTTCAAACGTCATCTCAATGGCAGAGAGGCCGTCACAAGCAATCCGCGCCCTGGGGCATGTCAAAAGATTTGGGGCCCATTGCTGTAGGAGCCAATAAATTGCCATGATACTGGCCATCAGACCAATGACTTCACTGCGGTATGGGCTCTGATCCTGGGGCAAACCCAGGGTCTGACAACGGATGGTGATCCGGTCTGACCCTCCATGCTTCACCAGGAGTTGAAGAGCTGCGGTCCCTAACTTATTCTTGAAGGACCCATTGCTGATCACTCGAAGGTGACCTTCCAACAGGGCAGCAACTAAGGTAGCTTTGTCGTCGTGAATCTCAATCTTGTCTGGAACCCACCCATAGTAGTCCGTGCAAAGCTCTGCAGCCGTTTGCCAGGCTTGAAGGATGGATGGGCTGGTGGTAGGGGCCATTTCCAAAGGACGACCAGTACCTGTGAGAAGAACGCTGTCAGACCCAGTAATGGGATGGACCATAGCACAAAGAACATCGGCACGGAGAGGGGCGGTCCACCACGGATTGGAGGAAGGTGAAGGCAATGGTGCAAAGCAACGTGACGTGGTGGAAGAACCCCCAGGAGAAAAATGTCTCCAGGTTGCCCCAAGGCGGTGGAAGAGGCCTGTATTGGGTGACAGCAACCAATTCCAGTCCTCCAGAGGATCAGTCCAGTGACCAAATGGATGTCATAGTGGGTAATGTGGCCCATTGGAGGCAAGCAGGGCTCGGGATAAAGTGGTCTGCCACAGGTCCCAGTGTTGGCGGATTGGGCGAACGGTCCTTGGCCATTGGTATGGCCAGCGGCAGCACTCATCCCTGATTCCATTCCAAGCAGCACGACAAATAAACCGCCATCAGCAGTGACAATGTCGGACACTGTGCATACCTGGAGGAACATTTGACACCAATTGAGCCAGAGGAGTTCATCTTGGTCAGCCTCCAGGTTGAGGAAGAGATCCACCAGCAGAGACTCGTCCTTACAGTGATGTGATAAGGCTGGGGAGTCGCGTCCAGACCCTCAAGTTCATGCCACACTCGTTTCATCCACGTGTCAGAAGCTAAGATGGCCGTGTTGTTGTCGACTTGTTGCAAGATTCCAAAGGATGTCCCCGTTTCTAGTGGATGGGCTTGGAAGTTGGCCTCCATGTAGTTACCAGTTTTGGTCCTGTTAGCCATGTGTTGGGGCAACATCTCAAGATGTTTAAACGCTTGACACACAAATGGGTGTGGGAGTCCAAGACCCTGATAGGACAGAGGAGCCCGAGGGAAATTGCAACATACACCGGCCTCTGGCAAGTACCAGAGACATAATGTCTGCCCATTGCTGGGCATCCGAGGTGGTTAGTGCCATGGGGTACTCCAATTTCTTCATGATGGTTGACCTGGTGAGGGGAAGGACGTCATATTTGTGAAGAAGGTTGGGCCAAAGCTGTTCTGCACAATTCTTGGCTTTAGCAAGCAGCTGACGCTCATGAGCCTTAAGGTTTTCCAAAGGGGCAAGCATCACCCCCAGAGTGCGTTCAGAGTCGTCTGGTTCGAGGCGCCGCAAGGATTTGGTAGCACCTGATAGACCTTGAATTTGGAGCTCGAAGTCTGGGGCAACTACTTTTTTACCACGAAATTTCCATGTGCCTATGCGTGAGTCCCAATCAAAATCGATGAGCCACCAAAAAGACTTCTTGGGTTTGATTGCGCCTCCAGTAGCTCGGATTCCCCTCGCCCACAGGGTAGCGGTGTCCTGCACCAATGCCCATATAGCTTCACCCGAGTGATGGACTATATTGCCAGCCTCAATGAGGGCGGTGTCGTCAACAAAGCAGAAGCATTAGGCTGTGACCAATTGTGACTCCAGTGCTGAGAGGCACTCAAAGCCGTAACCCATTGCTTTCGTCATGGTAATGAGAGCAGAGCTTACAGAGATCCATATAGGAGGTCCTGCCCCATTACCCTGTCCACAGCCTTGGAAGAGGATAACAGAAGGCGGTTTGAAACTACCTTCTGAATCGCCAAAACCTGTCCAAACCCAATGCGTTGCTGACAAGAGCATGTTGAAGATATCGACTAACCAACCGCTTATCCAAAAGGGTTAGTTTGTGAGGTTGGAAGGTAGACTCCTGGGGTTTGAAATTTCCCAAAGCCGTATTCAAGTCAATATCAATCCATAGAGCCCTGAGATCTGCCTCAACAAACTTGCCAAACGCGTAGTAGTCACCAGTGAGAACCGGAACACCCAAGGTGGTAAAGATCCCATCAATAGCAACGTTGTTTTGATTTCATTGGTGAGTAGCCGTGGGTGGGTGCCGTTTCAAAATCGCTTTCTCCAGTCCGCAGTCCTGGACCGTTGGCGTATGGATTCCAGGGAGTTAACTGAAAGGTCTTCATTAGCATCGATCCCCAGCAGCACTTCACAACCTTCGTCCCTCCACTTTTGAATTTGTTTGCATGAGTCGTCAACAAATGCTTTGCGCAGAACAACCTTACGTTTTATAGAGTGAAAGTAGAGAACATTAATCAAATAGGAACAATTTCACTCAAAGTATACCTAGCACAGGAGAACTATTGTTGTGAAAGTGTTGTATAGTTGATTACAAATTTAGATTGCAGAGAGTTTGTTCTGAGCGCTAAAGGCACTCACGATTGACCACAGTCTGCTTATTTCTAACAGTCAATCACAAAAGGCAACACTGTCTTATCTACAAAGGAGTGAGTGATTTGTTGACAATGGGACATTCTTCATCCAGTGGTGGAAGAGGACATGTGACTTGTTAGAAAGTCAAGAGCAATCCAAGTTCAACAGTTGTGAAACATTGGTTTCCAACTAAAGATGAAAACAATGGAAAGGCAAGATTGTTGTACAAAGATGCAGAAGAAAGAGGGATTGACTACATCCAAGCCTTGGGAATGAAGTGTTCCAAAGACATGGTGAAATTGATTCAAGATAGGAAGTCCATCAACTTCAATGCAATCGCTGAATGCACCAACTCAAACTGAAGCTGTGGCAAGGATATCCAATCAAAAAGAATATCTTGTACCAGGATAACAAAAGCGCAATTCTACTGGAAGAGAATGGTCGCAAGAGCCCGGGCAAAAGAAGCCGAGCTATCAATATTCGTTATTTCTTTATCACAGATCAAGTTGAGAAAGGAAATGTTAAGATCAAATACTGTCCAACTGACAATATGATTGCGGATTTCATGACTAAGCTATTGCAAGGTGAGAAGTTTTGCAAGTTCAGGGATCTGATTCTTGGTCCACAGGAATAGGTCAGACAAGTATGTATATGTTCAAAATGAAAATACAAAACAAAAAAACAGTGAATGAGAGCATGTCCCATTGCTGCCAATGGTGATTGTCACAATGGCAGGAGTGTGTTGGGATATGACGAAATATGAGTTTTTACATTCCAAAAAGAAACTATTCAAGTACAAAGTTTTTGACACGTACGATCGAACTTTGATCGTGATGTTGGGATTTGACGCAAGTATGCAGGACGCATTTCATGACGCATTTCATGACTAAGCCATTGCAAGGTGAGAAGTTTTGCAAGTTCAGGGATCTGATTCTTGGTCCACAGGATTAGGTCAGACAAGTATGTATATGTTCAAAATGAAAATACAAAACAAAAATAAACAGTGAATGAGAGCATGTCCCATTGCTGCCAATGGTGAATGTCACAATGGCAGGAGTGTGTTGGGATATGACGCAATATGAGATTTTACGTTCCAAAAAGAAACTATTCAAGTACAAAGTTTTCAACACGTACAATCGGACTTTGATCGTGATGTCGGGATTCGACGCAAGTATGCCGGACGCAAGTCTGTCGGACAATCTATATCCACACAAAAAGGGAATGACCCTATACAAGTGAGATATTGGTGTTATGTACGATGCAGTAGAGAATAATACAAGATGTCCCAAAGTACTCCATTCAACACAGAATTGTCGTAGAGGTCGAATCAAGTTCTGTAAACAAGGGATTTTCCAAGGGAAAATTGTTGAACTTACTTTTGTGATTGAATCATCAATTCAAGCCAAACATTAATCAAATAGGAACAATTTCACTCAAAGTATACCTAGACACAGGAGAACTATTGTCGTGAAACTGTTGTACAGTTGATTACAAATTTAGATTGCAGAGAGTTTGTTCTGAGCGCTAAAGGCACTCACGATAGAGCACATTTTGCTTTATTCTAGCATACCTAGACACAGGAGAACTATTGTTGTGAAAGTGTTGTACAGTGGATTACAAATTTAGATTGCAGAGAGTTTGTTCTGAGCGCTAAAGGCACTCATGATAGGGCACATTTTGCTTTATTCTAACATTCAATCACAAAAGGGCAACAAAACAAATTTACGTCAAGAACAGCACTGCCTTATCTACAAAGGAGTGAGTGATTTGTTGACAATGGGACGTTCTTCATCCGGTGGTGGAAGAGGACGTGTGACTCCTCAGAAAGTGAAGAGCAATTCGAGTTCAACAGTTGTGAAACATCTCTTTTCAACAAAAGATGAAAACGATGGAAAGGCAAGATTGTCGTACGAAGATGCCGAAGAAAGAGTGATTGATTATATCCAAGCTTCTGGAATGAAATGTTCCGAAGACATGGTGAAATCAATTCGAGATGGAAAGTCGATCGACTCCGATGCAATCGCTTCAAGATTGAACGCTCCAACTCAAACTGACGTCTGAAGATCCAGCATCAGAGGAGCTGTTCTTGTTCAATTGCAGTTGCACAGAAATCCTGTTGCAAGAACGGCTTCAAAGATATCATCCTTGAACTTGTTTTGAGCAGCAGTATCAGTGCTAGCAATAGCAGCATACGCTTTCGTTTTGACTGCAAAACTTCGGAACCAGGCCACGCCATATATGATCTTGCAGGGCTTCAGCCTGTCTCAAGAATCGTTCCTTGAAATGCATCAAGTTTCTGGTTGTTCCTTGCTTCATAGCAAAGAACTTTTGATTCGCTTCCCAGAAATCCAAGAAATCATACTCAGCATCAGCACTCTTCTTCATGAATTGTTCAATACGTTTCAAGAGTTCGATCAGATCTTCAAGAGTAGTCGTGAAATTGGCTTCACCTCAAAGCTTGATGTCCATCGCCTTTGTCACAAACTTCAGCATGATGTTTGATTTGCCGGTTCTTTTGTTTGTCTTGAAGTAGTCTGATCTTCGCATGTTCTCGTCAAGCTTTGCAGAATAGAGAATCTTGTTCTGGGCCATCTCTGTTTCTCTTGCAACAGCTTCAGTTTGAGTTGGAGCGTTCAATCTTGGAGCGATTGCATTGAAGTCGATCGACTTTCCATCTCAAATTGATTTCACCATGTCTTCGGAACATTTCATTCCAGAAGCTTGGATATAGTCAATCACTCTTTCTTCGGCATCTTTGTAAGACAATCTTGCCTTTCCATTGTTTTCATCTTTTGTTGAAAATAGATGTTTCACAGCTGTTGAACTCCAATTGCTCTTGACTTTCTGAGGAGTCACACGTCCTCTTCCACCACTGGATGAAGAACGTCCCATCGTCAACGAATCACTCACTCCTTTGTAGATAAGGCAGTGCTGTTCTTGACGTAAATTTGTTTTGTTGCCTTTTGTGATTGAATGTTAGAATAAAGCAAAATGTGCTCTCTATCGTGAGTGCCTTTAGCGCTCAGAACAAACTCTCTGCAATCTAAATTTGTAATTGACTGTACAACACTTTCACGACAATAGTTCTCCTGTGTCTAGGTATACTTTGAGTGAAATTGTTCCTATTTGATTAATGTTTGGCTTGAATTGATGATTCAATCACAAAAGTAAGTTCAATGATTTTCCCTTGGAAAATCCCTTGTTTACAGAACTTGATTCGACCTCTACGACAATTCTGTGTTGGATACAGTACTTTGGGACATCTTGTATTATTCCCTACTGCATTGTACACAACACCAATATCTCACTTGTATAGGGTCATTTCCTGTTAGATTGTCCGACAGACTTGCGTCCGGCATACTTGCGTTGAATCCCGACATCATGATCAAAGTCCGATCGTACGTGTCAAATACTTTGTATTTGAATAGTTTCTTTTTGGAACATAAAAACTCATATTTTGTCATATCCCAACAGCCAAGACCATCCAAGCAGTCCCTTGACAAATCAACAAGCCGTCCTCAGCCACAACATTGACAAGGTCTTCCTACCAAATCGACCCACGGACAACCGATGGCAGAATGAGCCACAGTCACAATAAAAAATGGCCAAGGGAGATGCCTCTTGGCACACAGTCAAAGAAGCCTTGGGTTACAACAAAGACATTGCAATTGAAAGAGAAAAGAGTGAGCAAGGCCCTTTCACTCCTGGGCAAGGTCCTGGATTGCAAACGAGTCTCCCTGAAACGCTGGCAGCACCAGGTGTAAGGAGTCTTACGAAGCCTGCAGCCAGGAATGCCTGGCAGTGAAGGACATTTCTCCCGGGATTGGGGGCCATTAGCTAGTAACAATTGTCAGCCCAAAAACATCATTGAAACTCTTTTAGGCCCAACTAGAGTCTGCAAAATCCAAAGCGATTGAGAAGGATGAGCAATCGCGACAAATCAATTTGAAACGGAAAACCATAATTCCCCCTTTGAAACAACTCCCCCTAACGAATCACCTATTAGCTCCCGATAAATTCAATACGCAAAATCCCCCTTAAAACGACAAAGGACGGATGAGTTGCGGAGGGTCCTGTTGTTGCATTTTGCAATCTGCGAACTGGTTTGTCGTGTTTCAATTCGAACCAAAACTAGAACTTGGGGCCCCTAAATTTGACTGCAAAACATAATGGGGGAAGACTAAAGAAAAGTGCTTCCCCCAGTGGAAATTGGACGACAGATAGACGAGTTGCTGAGGGTCCCTAGCGCCCTAAGTCTTTGCCAAAATCTTTGATGCATTCTTTGATGTGGTCCGGGACACTATGTCGCATGGAACCGTCATGGCAGAATTCCACTTCCTTTCCTAAATAAGTGTGTTTCTTTCCAAAGCTTTTATGCATTTCTCCAAAACGATCTTCTAGTTTTTTAATTATTTGTG